CTTTCTTTCTTTCTTTCTTTCTTTCTTTCTTTCTTTCTTTCTTTCTTTCTTTCTTTCTTTCTTTCTTTCTTTCTTTCTTTCTTTCTTTTCTTTTTATTTATGTCTACAAGAACTGGGGTTTAGACCAGAATGCAGGGGCTGCTAGAGGAGTCACCAGAGACAGAGTGGGGAACAGAACAGGCCGATCCAGTGAAACCTACTGCTGAGGGGAGCAGCGGGCGGATCAGGAGAGGTCTGCCACGCCATGTGGTCACCTCCAGGGCCGGGGATTGAACTGGCACTGTAGCGGCTGCAGAGAGCTTCATAATGCTGCACTTTAACCCATTGTGCCACCATGGTGGGGGGCTAAGGGGGAGCCCTGACAGGTGGTTTTCTATTGCATGCAGGGACTGGGTCATAGAGCCACATAACAAAATCTGTAGTTCACCAATTTACAGGTTAGTAGAAAACTATTACTATGCTACTGGAAAATGAACAAAAATAAGAAACAAAGGGTATATTAATATTTGAAAATTCTTTTCTTTGTAGATCAAAAAAAAACACCAGTTTTCAAATTGATAAAAATACAGCTGGGACCTTGTTCTCACAAGTGATGGGAGGTGGGTCTTTATGGTAAAGAAAAAAAATGGTGGAAAAAAAGAATAAGCCACTCTGGAATCCAGGTGGACAGTAGTTGTTACGCTGTAAAAATACTCAAAATCTATGTCCAGTCTTCCTGCTGCAGCCGTTCAGTGTAAAGTGACCAACAGGCACGCAGGAGGCATCTGCACAGGCTGGTCCTGTGGCCCCCCTGGGGCAGGGCTGGGGACACCCCACTCCTGACCTCCTGGGCTCCCCTCCAGTCCCGACATCAGCCCTGAGCTTTCCGGGTCCTCAGTGGGCCAAAGTGGATAAGATTTCAAGCTTCATTTAAAAATAAGTTAAAAGTTTTAAAATGTCAGGTCAAAAAATAGTGAATGCTCAAGAAAAAAGGAATGCGGCTAAGCCCGTGAGGTACTGTCCTGCCTCCTGCGCTCCAGCCTGCGTGTCCCGGCGGCTCTGAGGCCCTTTCCTGAGGGGCTGGGCCTGCTGTGTCTCTGGCCTCAGGGAGTTTCCTGAGCAGGTAGAGAGGCAGCCTGGGGTCCTGGGCTCTAGGGGCTGTTGTGCAATTGAGTCCTGGGTGCTGACTCTGGGTGCCCAGGACAGAAGGGTGAGGGTCCCTTAGATGAGTCTTTGCTATGTACCTGCTGTCCCCATGATGGGCCCAGGGTCTCTGGGGCCCACAGCTGGGAGCTTCCCCCAGGGGTTGCAGGGTGACAGTGAGCCAGGAGCTGCCCTTTTCCCTGTTTCTGGGGTGGCCGGCTGGAGCCAGCCAGGACTGGTCTGACCCTGGGAATAATGGCTGTCAGGCCAGGCTAGGCCCAGAGGGCATGGGTGGGACTAGGGCTCCCGGGGGATGTAAAAGGGGCCCAGAGGAAGTGGCTTCACACCTCCCTGATTACAGCACCATGGACTTGTTCTGGCTTCTCACCTGCTTCACCTTCATCGGGACCTCCTATGGTGAGTGTTAATATCTGTGGGATCAGTTGGGCTTGAGAGGAGACCTGAGCCCTGCTGGCTGCACCTTACTCACGGAGGTGATCTCGATGGCACAAGATCTCTTGTCCCGTCCATGGGTACTTTGAGCATCTGTCCTGTCCTCAGTAAAGGCAGTGAAACTTCCTTTGCAAGAGGAGAGAGGCACGTCTGGATTTTTTGAATTCTCACAGCTGGGTCAGGTGTGCAGCAGAATCACGGGCCTAAGAGGATGGAGTCCAGGAGGAGGCCCAGAGGGACAGAAAGGGGGTGGTCATGGGAGAGACCCCATACAGTCTCTCAAGGACTCTGCCTTCATTTTACTTAGTGCTGGGTACTGCTAAGTGGTTGGTTAAAAAAAAAAAGAGTACTATATCATGTGTCTGTGCTTAGGATATAGCAAGTGTCCCGTTTCTCAGATTTGCTTCAGGGATCTCTCTGACACCCACACCAGGCTCAGGACCAACCCCCTCCCACTACCCCTCTCCCCGATACCCTTTGGGATATCTTTGACACCCCCACTAGGCTCAGCACCACCCTATACTCCCCCCTCCCCCCGGGAAGGGGCCTCTGCTGAGTCCCCGCCTGTCACTCTGTGCAGGCTTCACACACTCACCCCTGGGGCTCACCCAGAACAGCGGGCTCCGTGGGGGAGCCCCTCCCTGTGTCCCCTCCCTGTGCCTGTCACAGCTGCTGTCCCCACTGGGGTGAGACCTCAGGTCCCTCCCTGCACAGGGACCAGCCCCCCTGCATTGCTAGGACGCGCCTGCAGGGGGCGCCGCTCACAGCGCCTGCTGGTGGTTTTCTGTTCTTAGGAGAAAGATGAGGAGGACATGTTTGGAGTCTCCAGCTTGAGGGAGTGGCGGGGTCATGTCCCTGGCCCCAGCAGGGGCAGGTGCTGCCTGGAGCAAGGCCTGGGGGACCCAAGGGTGCCTGTCTGTGGGAGGGCTGGCCCTGCCCCCCTCCTTCCTGTGGCCGAGTTCTCACTCCCCTGGGGCTGCTGGGGATCCCGTGTCCTGACCCAGCAGACGTGTCTGCACATGTCAAGGGCCAGTGTGTCCTCCCTGTTCTGGAAAAATTTATGTCACTTGTTTCTATTTATCTGATATATCTCTTTATGATCTGGATCAATGTCCTATGTTTTAAATTAATTAATAACCCAACTTATGCAATGAAGGCTTTCTGAAATTCTGGAATAAAGAATGTAGAATTGTAAATTAATTCCATGTGCTATCCCAGCAGGCAAGTGTTAGACAGGGGACGTCTCTTTACTTGGGCTGCTCTGCTTCTAACTGCACACCTGTCCACACCCATCTCGGTGAGGTTGTTCTCTGAGGCCTGGGAGAGTCAGAGGGGGCTGAGTCTCCAGCAGGGGTTGGGGGGACAGGGACCCTGATTTCTCCACCTGTGTCTGCTCCTCTGGGCAGGGGCACCCGGATGGAGCACCCTCTGTCCCTCTGCATCCCTGGGGGTGACAGGCCAGCAGGCAGGGGTGTGTCTTCCAGTCTAGGTGCTGGGTGCCAGGAGGGAGTGTGGGTGGTGCTGTGCTGGCTGAGGGTGCAGCAGGTTTCTGCAGACTCACTGGACCTCCCCCTCCCCCCTCCCCCGTGACCCCAGGCTCTGGGGCCCCTGCCAGTGACCCGGAGCTGAGCATTTCACCCAGGATCATCAATGGGACAGACGCTCGTCCTGGCTCTTCCCCCTGGCATGTGTCTCTGGAGGTGAGGACAGTCTCAACCTGAGTGGGGTCACACTGGGGTACGGCTCCTGAGATTGTGGGGCATCTACCAAGATTGGTGTGATGACTAACTGGACTTCTTCCAACAGTCTCCCTCTGGAGGACTCCTCTGTGGGGGCTCCCTGATCTACAGGAACTGGGTGATCACCGCCGCCCACTGCACAGTCTCGTGAGGCCGGGAAGGGACCTTACGGCAAGGGAGGGGTGTGGGCTCCTCCTTAATCCTTACCCACCTGCTCCTCCTAGGATATCTGACTGGGTTGTGGCTGGGATGTTTGACAGACGTGAACATGGGAATAAAATCCAATACCTAAGGATTGCCCAGGTATGCCAGAACCCGGGGGCACTGTTCTGGGGGCTTGGATGAGGGTTTGGGGACAGAAGCTGAGGAGAAGACAGAGACAGGAGTAGCAGATGGGCCTCAGTTGTCCTCCTACTTTTCCATGGTCTCTGTTCTCTGAAGGGAGCTGTTCCCACCAGGAATTCATTTGTCTCACCTCATGCTCTTGGTCCTCACCCACAGATTGTTATGCACCCCGAGTACCACTTCAGCACTTTCTATGGTGATATCGCTCTGCTGAAGCTCTCAACCCCTGCCGACTTCCACCGCATGGTGTCCCCCATTACCCTGCCGCATGCTCACGACATGTTTTCTGTCAGTTCCCAGTGCAAAATTATGGGCTGGGGACTTACCCACCCTAACGGTGAGTGGCGGTGGCCTGACCTCCCAGAATGCAGGTGTGGGCTTGGGCTGCTCAAGCAGCAGGTGTGACGCAGGGGCTGTGCTTTGTGGCTTTGTCCAAATTCTAGCTCTCCTGTATATGTCCCACATTCTTTCCTACAACCCGTGAATGATAACCTACCCAGTGAGCATGACGCGAGGTCCAGGATGCTCTTGAACTGTCAGTCTTGCAGACTGCTCAGTTCCAGCAGGCCCTGCCTCACTCACTCACACCATCAGCCTTTGGCTCCCTGATCAGCCTGGACTCGTCGTAGCCCTGAGTGGGCAGGGTGCAGCCACCATGCATTTTCTGCTGGTGGAGGGGTTCCCTGGTACAGGTCCTGAATTCCAGCCCGGTACCTCTCCCCACGCTTGGTCCAATCTGAGCATCTCCTCCGGCGTCCGGAGTCCTTCTGCCCAGTCCAGGGAGCAGCTGCCAGGATGGGGCCGTCTGTAGGTCAACCATTACCCCCAGCGTGCTGGTCTCCAGTCAGAAGGATGTCAGAGCCATTCCCTGGGGAAAGATGCTGTTCCTGTGGCACCCATCCCCCCACCCCCCAGCCTGGCAGGCCCCAGGCCACACCAGGCAGGCCAAGCAGGGCTTGTTTTTCAGCTGTGCATGGATCCAAGCCAGCTGGGCCTGGGGTGCAATCAGGAGCAACACGTGCCTTTGAGATTCCTAAGCTCTAATGTAGGGCTCTGGCTCTGCACCCTGTTGCTGCTGTAGGAAGACGGGGGCCAGGGATGGCTGTGCTCAGTTTCCCTGGTCTGCTCCACCCAGGTTGGGCTCGTGGGGGAGGGTCCTGAGTGGCCTTGGCTCCTCTGTCTCTGCAGACAACAAGAAACCTGACAGGCTGCAGGAGGCCTCCGTGACACTCCTGACCTTTGAGGAGTGCAAGAAGTACTGGGGCTCCCAGTTCACCCAGGACATGATCTGCTTCAGCGGCAATGGCGCCTGCTCCTACCTCGTACGTGTGGCTCTTACCTCTGCCCCCCAAGTCAGCAAAGGAATGCCTTTCCTCAGATTCCCACTACCCGCTGCCCTTAAGGAGCTGGGCAGTGCTGGTACCCTGAGAAACCGGGACCAGCACTCACGGTGCCCACAGATGACCCGCTCACCAGCACCTGGGGCATACTTGGAGGGTGGGGTGACTTGGTTACTTGTATAGTCCCCTCATGTTGAGATATTTCTAACTGATGCAAAGGCCATATTGCTGACTGACTCCCACTTTTCCTTCTACCCTGCACCCCATAGCAGGGGGCAGAGCTGGGGTGCTATTTGAAATGGGATTTTTCTATTAAAATACAGGGCCCACCTGGTATTTCTAGGTTCCACATGTGTGGGGCAGCATGAGACACATTTGACTAGCACTTTCAGTCCAGGATTCTGGTCCTTTCTCCACAGGGTGATGTTGGTGGCTCCCTGGCCTGCAGGAAGAATGGAGCCTGGAGACTCGTAGGCATTGTACTTTATGGCAGTAAATCCTGCCCCACTAGCCGTCCTATGGTGGCCATTAGTTTGCGTAATTTCAAGCCATGGATTGAGTATACTGTGGCTCACAAGTGAGCCTCATCTTCCCATCCCAGCGCACTTTATCCTCAATAAAAGCCTCTGCTCAGAGCCCTGACTGCTTGTGTCTGAGACTGGGGAGTGGTTGCAGTGCCCCTGTCCCCCACCAGGGGGCAACATGACCCTCCTTTCCAAGCTGCAGAGCACAAGCAGGTTGCTGAGCCTAGGGAGCTGAGGCCTTTAGGTCTGGGCCTCCCTGCTCAGGGTGCCCCTGGGGGGAGAGTCCACACACCTGTTGCAGCCTCATTTCTCAGCCTGGTCTCTGCTCCTTTGGTAGCTGGGCTTGTCCCAAGGAGTTCTGTGGAAGGCACAATGCTCCAGGCCAGGCCATGAGTCCTCCTAGCAGGTTGGGCCCTGGGACCAAGAGGCCCCCCAGGCTGGCTCATCCCTCTCCCATGCTCCTGGCACCTTGCTCTGCCTTGAGCCCCCTGCATCCCTACCCCAGTCCATCCACGCAGTCCCCTACCTTCCCTGCCTCTCCCCAGGCCCTGCACACTCTGAACTGAGGCGCTGGGAGAGCTTCCTTCCAGCCCCAGAGGCTGAACCAATGTCCTTAAAGTCCCCATATATCCATTTTCTTCTTCTTGATTTGGTGGCTGCTAGTAGAAGCTGGATCAGCCTCAGCTCAGTCCCACACAGGCTGCAGGGGCTGGGTCCTGCCTGGGGGTGCAAGGCTGGTCTTTGTGAGCATCACAGACTTGAGGCCTGAGGCCTGGGCCTTCATTCCTGTTGGGTTTGTAAATGGGGATAACTCACTTCATGTCTCTGTCATTTGCTATGGGGACATATTTCAGAGAGATGTGTCCCCACCAGTCACTCAGTGACCCTGATGCAGTATAGAACATGTAGGGCATTCTCTCATCTCTTCACACGTGGTAAGAGGATTCAGCAGAGACAGAGTGGGGAGCAGAACAGGCAGACTGACGAAGTACACTGCTAAGGGGAGCAGCCGGCGGGTCAGGAGAGGTCTGCCACGCCATGTTGTCACCTCCGGGGCGGGGATTGAACTCGTGCAGAAATGGCTTTAGCTTCTCAGTGCTGTGCTCTAACCCACTGCACCACCAGGGAGGGTCTGGCTGGGTCATTTTTTTTTTTAAAATATAATAGTTTATTTTTACATCATTTTGTATATTGTTTTTTCATCTCAATTGTAATCCCCGTGGGTTTCCCATCACCGAGTCACCCTGTGCCATCACCGTAGTCCTGTGCACTTCCCTCCCCCCCTGTTTGATCCCATTCCCCACTCCACCCCCACAAAATGTCTCTGGTACATGGCTATTCATTATTCTTTTTCTTTTCTTGCCTGGTCCGTTATACTCCTGCTGTGAGCGAAACCATCCGGTATTTTTCTTTTCCTTTCTGACTTATCTCACTAAATGGCTGGGTCATTTTTGAGGCCCGTTCTGATTCTGCCTCTAAATAGCAGACTGCCAAACTGCTCACACCCAGGCTCTGCTCTTCTTGCCTTTATATCTCCTTTCCCTGCACCCCGCTCACCATTCCTTGGCTGGGGAACTCCCTGTTCTCTGGGGGTGAACCCGTTGCAAAACTATTCTAAAACTGAGGAAAAGTGACAACTTCCCTGACGACAGGGAGACCTGGGTGGCTTCAGGTCCTGGGCTCTGCTCAACCGTGCGTAGAGCGAGACCAGTTTCAGAGGACGTGGCTGGGGGAGCTCTGAGAGGTTCTGTTCTGTGAAGACCCAGGCCAGACGGGCGGGACTCAAGAAGGGGGCAGAGGAGGCTTCTGTCTGCCCTCCACTCACCCCGGTCAGTGAAGGGAGCAGAACTGCCCTCGGGTCTCTCCTCCGCCTCTCCCTCCACCTTCTTTCACCTCCCCCACCTTCTCTTCCAAGTCCGCCCTTCACGTATTTCTCCCCCATCTCTGCCCACTTCCAATGCACGGCACCTGCAGCTCCCAGAGCCCCGCATGGAGGCTCTTTTGAGGGTATCATTTAAACAAAATAAAACTAAGCACCCACCCCGGGCCAGCTGGAAGGCTTGGAGACGAGAATAGATGACGGGACTTGGCAGGCCGCTTTGAGGCCCAGCAACAGCCGGTTCACTTCGAACTGAGTGTGGAAGCTGGGCCAGGAGACGTTCGTGTTCAACGTCAAGCCCAAGACCTGACATCCCAGGACTAACGGCCCAAACCCACTCCCAGTCTTGAACACCCGTGAACACAGGGTATAGACGGGAACCCGGACACCTTTGCGAGCAGATCTCTGCCGTGCCTTAGCAATGCATTTCTCTAACCCCGCTCCAGCTCTCCACTGTCCCTGGACAATTCTTTCACCTCATCCCTCCTGCTCACCCTGAGCTTCTTCCCACAACACTTCTTGTCACCGTCTGAAGTTTCCATGCAGCGTGCCCAGATGCACGGTGGGGAGAGTCAGCAGAGTCCCCACGTCCACAGGGGCCCTCGGGCGCAGCTTGTCACCTGCCCGGGTTAATGGTGAGCAGTGAGAAAGCCAGGCCACAGCTCACGAGATTTTTTTTAAAAAACAACTTTTTTTAAAAAAATATGTAATAGTTTATTTTACATCATTTTGTGCCATTTCTCATCTCAGTTGCAATCCCCTTGGGCTTCCCATCACCAAATCACCCATGTGCCATCACCATAGTCCAGTGCATTTTCCCCATTTTTGATCCCATTCCCCACTCCGCCCCCACATAATGTCTCTGGTTCATTATTTTTATTATTTTCTCCCCTGGTCCTTTATACTCCTGCTATGAGTGAAACCAGCTGGTATTTTTCCTTTTCTTTCTGGCTTATTTCACTAAGCATGATCTTTTCCAGCTCCATCATGTTGCTGCAAAAGGCATGAGCTCACGAGATTTTAAGAATGTTTCTGTACTTTTATTTTAAAAACTCCCTTGGCTAGACAAGGTTTCTCTAGAGTTTTCCCTTATTTTTTCGTGAATGACATCTATTTCCTCACTAAATGTTGATGAGAGCCCTGAATTTCTCTCAGCCCCCATATGCACTTTAGAGTTGTGAAATGAATGAAAATTCCCCAGCAGGACACACCCAGCAAACCCCACTCCAGGCCACCTCGGGCACCAGGAGGACCCGCAGCAGCTGGTCCCCACCCTCCTCCATGCGGGGCTCTGGGAGCTGCAGGTGCCATGCTTGGAAGTGGGCAGAGATGGGGGAGAAATACGTGAAGGGCGGACTTGGAAGAGAAGGTGGGGGAGGTGAAAGAAGGTGGAGGGAAGGGCGGAGGAGAGACCCGAGGGCAGTTCTGCTCCCTTCCATGGGCAGCATGTCCTGCCCCAGGGCAGGTGTGGGGTGTTTGGACTTGGAGTCTCTGCTCTGTCCTGGTTTTCTGGGAGCCTGGCACCCCTTCCCTGAGGTTGCACCCATAGTACCTGAGACCGCTGGGCCTCACCCCCACTCCTCGGCCATGCCTGCTTGCCTGGGCGCTTGCACAGACTGGGCTGGATCATTTTTGAGGTCTGGTCTGATTCTGCATCTGGACAGCAGACTGCCAGCCGCTCACACTCAGGCTCTGCTGGCCTTGACTTTATTGTGCAGGTCGGGGCCCTGTTTAGGGCACGCAGCTCGTAACAGGTGT